GATTTCTCTGGGGCTTTTAAGGCAATTCAGCCAGCCTTGCTGTGAGACAAGTCCTGAAAATACCGGTGCATGCCTCCACAACTGCCTAGATTATTGACTATCTGACAGTCAGAACACTATTGTACCTGGATGAATGGGAATGAGTGGGTGGTAAATAGCCACGGTGCACCACAAGGACCTGTACCTTTACCGTTTCTCTTCACTCTGAGCTCCTCAGACTTGCATCAGAACTCTGAATCCATTCATCACTCACAAAAGTACCCTGATGATTCCGGTCTGTGATAGGAATAGGCAAGAGGCAAAGAAAGAAAAATGGAAGAAACTTTTTTTTTGATGCGGTGAAAACAAATGCCCACTTTTAACAAAAACTATAGACCGATGAAAATAACTGTGGATTGTAAGGAAGTCAGGATGAAATATCATTAGTATAAATAATAACGCTACCCAAGCTCCACAAAATCTTCCAATTAAACTAAAATACATTTGTTTTAGCTGAATACAAAAGGTCATTTTTATTCATGCAAAACAAAAACCACCAGGCATTCTTAAATGGGCAACCACATTAAGATATAAGTTAATTTAATTAATTCAGTTCATTTATAAAGTGTAAGTTTTTAATATGTGTCATCTCAAGCCACTTTAAATAAGCAGTTGCAATTCAGATCCAAATATATATAATCCAATTTGGTCTTAATTTGGTTGAAATCAGTCTGTAAAAATCTAACCAAAGTCCCGAATTTTAAGATCAAGATTGGATTAAAAAGACTAATTTATTCCTAATTCTTAAACAATTCAGTGAACAACCTTGTAACCCCGATTGATACAAATTGTTTATCAAAGGAAGTCTTGTTCCCGGCATTAAGTCCTTATCTGTATCTCACCCAATGAAGCTTGTGGAAAGAGTGGAAAGCAACAGCTGCTTTTTAAAGAGATAAAACCATCCAGGTGGATCTGACTCAACATCAGTAGCCATCAGCCATTATAAAATGGGGGTTGAGAAAATAGGCAGAAAACACATAAAAAGTACTTTCTATTACAAATAAAGAGTAGACATAATTAGAGGCAGCAATAGCAAAGTCAATAGCACCATTGAGAAAAAAAAACAATAAATAAATAATCCCCATATATCTTACAAAGGGGATTATTTGACTACTGAGGCCAGTTAGAACTGTTAGGATCTAAATACTGTATAAACAAACAATAATTATAATAAACTAGGAAAAATTTGGTGAAAAATTTAATAAAAAGTATGTTAATACCTGATCTTTTTCTAAAGGTATTTTAATTTGACAAATGAGAAGAAAACGTTTCTTGTCTTAGTTTTGTTCTAGGGTTTTCTTCTGTAAAAGTCCAGCAGTCAGAACCTCCATACAGGAAATCACCCAGAGCCAGAGGTATTTTGTAGAAAAAATAAACAAAGACTGTGCATCATTAGAAGCAGCAATAGCTTGTTCAATGGCTCTGTTCAGGAAACAGACACAACTAAACACAAAACCACTCAGCCAGATGTATCTTCTACATGAAGAAAAGAAAGCAAAAAAAAAATCCAGCAAACTTAATGGCAGCATTTGCAAATATTCAGAAGTAATCAATAGACAGAGTAAATATGTTGTGGCTTTACTCACAGAAGGCATAGTGGAAAATAATCAACAAATTACTGCTGGATTTTTGAACACATGTTTTTGTTACATGCCAAACATGTTTTGGCGAAGAACTCTCTGGGCTGTTTTAAGAAGACTGTTATTATAAACTTCTGTTAATCGCAAAATTGCGAGGAAATCTAATTTCTTCAGTTTTTATTATATTTTTTTGTCTTGTGCTGGAAACATGGATTTGGAAGATCTCTGAGCTTCATATGGAAAGATCATTATGTTTAAGAGGGAAAATAATGTAACAAACTGATGCATAAGGTGGTTATGAAACAGTTTTTGACAGCAATCATACCTGCTGGCTGATATTGTTGAGCCTCAGCGAAATGGAGAAATGTCCTTTTCACAGAACATTAAGAATTTGACTAGTTGAAACAGTATTTCACCAGAAGAGAAGTGCTTATCTGTAATCATGCCAACTTCTCTATGTGGAAAATCAAAAAGAGGGAGTCTTTAGTCATTTATGGAAAAAGCAGATTGAAAAAGTAGTAAAAAATAAAAACAAAGGAAGAAGAAGGAAGTATTTTACTAACCTTTTGTCAAAAGTTTCTCCAAAATCCAGCTTCTACAGTGTTGCGTTTTTGATAAATGAAAATATTAATTTTCATGAAGAGTAAAATTATATAAAAAAGAAAATTATATGAGTCTGAATAACTTAGGTCTCATAAATCAGATTTTTCCCTCCAGAGAAGATTCAGAAACTTTCTCAACTTTTAGGGAATAATTTTCTCCAGGTGTTATTAGTGAGAGTTTTATTGGGAAGAATGAAAGTAAGCATAAATTAACTTACTGCTTCTGGTTTGGGAGTTTCCACAGTGCACCAATCAAGACCAGTGCCATTCCACTGTAAATGTCATTTGTGAGACGCATCAAGCCGTGAAAGAGCCCATAATCATCTCTGCAATTCTCACTTTGCCACACACAACTGGGATTTTTTCTTTTCACCGCTTGGTTTTTAAACAGATTTAAAGTGAATCTGCAGGAGTTCAGTTGTTTCTTTTCTGCTTAAAAATATTCTAATTAATTTGTAACTGTTTAAATACCCAAGAAACAAATACGTGACTTTTCTTCTGTGAGCCAGATAAAGTCCTGAATTTGTGTTTTCAATTCAATCTCCTTCAACCTTGACTTATATTTTTATTACAGAATAGTAGCAATGTTGGACAGCTGTGATTAGGAGCTTCTAATCATTTCATCATGCTGTCTGGGTTTCTTCTAAATAGACTGTTTCTTTTTGATTTAAAAGGGGAAAAAAAATTGGAAACAAAATATAAAGTAACAACGGACCAAAGTGGTCAACTAAATGTGCAAATAATTTTCTAAAATCATGCAGATGAAGATTTCAAAAAATGTAAATCCTCAAAATGTAAAACCTACAGTAGTTTGGTGTTGAATATGGTTAAGGTTGCTTCAATGCATCCTAAACCCTTCCCTAGACTTCAGTGCCATCTAGTGGTCAACTAGACTCAAGACATTGTATGTTCAATACCTCCAGGTGAAACAAATACTCAAGATCAACCAAGAATATAATAATTAATATATGTCAATACATAATGTCAAGAAGTGTCCAAAGATAGGATATTCCTTTCAATTAGCAAAATATCTTCTCACTTTTGAAAGGTTTCACAAATCATATGGAAAATAAAACAACATTCATTAACACAATCTGAGCCTCAAATACGGAAGCATAAAATAGACACCAATCAGGCATAACATTATGACCACCAGCCAAGTAATATGCTCACCTCCCTTTCGTTGCCACATTATTCCAGGCTCACTGAGGTGCAGAGTCCACTGGGCCCCTGAGGGTTGCTGTCATTTCTGAAAATGGGTTGTTACTAGCAGGTCTTTTAAACAATTTGTTTAGATATTTTGAGATTAATAAAGGTATTGGTAGTAGTTGACTAACCTTTAATAAAAAGATGTCAAGAAAGTTTTTTGGAAACATGGAAATTCAAATCAGTGGAATATATTATAGCAGATAGTAATAGTCTAGAGACTTTTTGATTGTCAGCTGGATTGCATGTTTTTCTATGTGGATCCACATTGCCTGAACCTATCAATCCTGCATCACTGTATCAATTCGCCAGATCAGCTTTCTCCATCTTTCTTTCTTGTAACTTATTCAACAATGGCTTTTTTTGTTGTTGTTGACAAATTGTTTTCTTTCTATTAGATTCCACTCAATAACATGAGACAATTTCACCCCACCTATTCACAGTCATAATGTTATGCCTGATCAGTTCAGCACTTATTTATACAATATATGATTTCAAATCATGTGTAAGTGAAGAAGGTGGAGCAAAAATATATGATGAAATGGGCACCCAAACATGCCAAGAGGAGGGCCTGCAGTGGAGGATGAGGAAGGTAGAGAAAATGATAAAGACAAGCCCCAAACCTAGAATTCCTGCACTCTTAAATCCCGTCCACCAATCTACAAAACGACCAGCATCAATATTGACAAAAGCATCAGAGAGGAGAGTCATGGCATCAAGGGATCCCCCTTCACATCAATATCTGGTAATTCGTTTTGACTGATAGAATTGTCTGTCAATTCTATCAGTGATAATACTTTTCTTATCTCATTCCAATGAGATAAGAAAAGTATTTGAAGCGAACTGGCGTAAACAACAATACATGTCTCAACACATTTATGTTTTTTAGGAGAACAAATTAAAAGTAATGATTTCACAGGCAGCTTAATCCATTTTCAGATGGAAGGAATCTGGCTTACCTTGAAATGTAGGAGTGATTTAAAAACCAGTCTGTCTTCTCTCAGTGTCCCACGTATCACAGAACAACCATCCACAGAGCAAACTGATTAATAAATGAATTAATACTTTAGATTATTATTTTAAGATTATCACTTATTCTTCTGATTGATCTGTTTTGACAAGATTGTAAGAAACTCCCAGATGAAAAAAAATTGGGCAGAAGGTCTATTTAAAAAAAAAGAATGGAAAAAGAAAAGGTTATACAGTATGTAACTTATTTAATGCAACTAATTTTGCATTATTATATTTTTATCTTCCCAGGGAGCACAGATTCTTTAGCACTGAACAATTCACAAGTGAGAATGGATGGTAAATTTAAATCTTTATGTCCTTATTTAGTCATATAAGAAAATTAAACTAAACTGTTACGGTTACACAACAGGGAGTGACAATTTTCCAGAAAGCTCCATTCCAGTTTCCACAGGATTTTGAAAGTAAAAGTTGTCATTTAATTTCTGTAAAACACAAATTTTTATGAATTCATTTTATACTGGAATTTGGGGATTTTATTGGGACTAAACTACAAGGAGGAACTATAAAGAACAAGACGAGCAATTGCAAAATTATTGTTTTATTTATTTATTAAAATATTACAACCATATAAATGTTCCTGTAAAGCGTAACACTGCGGTTCTACATCAAACTTTCTGACTTCTTGTCTTTATTGAGTAATAAATAAACCTGAGCCTTAAAGCAATAAAAAATAATTGTGGTCTTCTTTTGGTTCAAGGACTTACATTAGAAACTACAATACTATACACAAGAGAAGGCAGTAATATGTATTTTTACATAGATACTTTGTTGAAGAAATCAAGTTAGATAATAATGATTTTACAAAATAGCATACAAAATAAACAGTTTCACATGTCTCAATTACCTAATGGACTTGTCAATGATAGGACTTTCAGCAGGGACAGTTCTATAATTGAATATCGTAACAAAACAAGTTAAACTGGTGATCCCACATTTATGTATAGCCCCCACACCCATAATTAATTTCCATGGAATGTGGACAGTCACGCCAAAACAATGTGCATACAGCCACTACTGACAGGATTATGAGTGCTACATATACAATCTTACTTTGTAATATTAGGCACGTCTGGTAAGCAAAAGCTTTAGGCACTTCAAACATGAATAATACATATTTTAATGTGCTTTTAAAGTAGCAATAACTTTTCCTTACTTTTTCTGGTGAGAATAAACCTGAGGTAATTTTTCTTCCCCCATTTCATACCTCCATTTCAGGTCTGTGCTACAGCGCATGAAAAGAAAACTATTTATACAACGACTTCCTAAACGTTTTATTTATGATTGCATAACAGCTGTTTTTCATTCTGATGACCTATAGTAAACCTTTTCATGTATATTCACCCTTCACCTTGTTCAAATATGTGAACCGAAACCATGACGACTTACCACAACAATGAAACAAAACAGAGTACATAGCATTCACTTCACTACAACTAACCTTCAGCTGCATATTTCACATGTTCCAGTAAGACACCACCTTGTTCAGCAGTGTTCGAAAACCTCAAAAACTTACTTTTGCTATTCGCTCTACTTTTTTGTCTCTTGGCTTCAGCAAAGCTTTAATATATATATTTAAAACTATGATCGAATTCAACAGTTGTGTGCTACTGTGGTAAGATTTACACCACCAAATGTAATCGTTTGAAAACTAGTCTAGGTTTAAAGTAATATTTGAGTTGTTCAGTGCTGCAGAATACCAGCAATGAAACGCAGATTAAAACAGCTGTATACTATAGGTAATTAAAGTTTACTCAAGAGCCTACTCTAGTCTAACATAAACAAATCCTCCATCTCTAACCTAAAATGTAATGTTATAACATGCTCAAATGTTTGACTACCTGACTATATTGTTAAATCATTGCTTAATGCCAGTGACATATGTTTTATAGCCTCCAAGATAAAATTGTGCAAGACACTTAAAATGAAATTTCTTTTCACCAGTAGTATAATTTCACACAAAAGCATTTATCTTTAATTTATGTATATTTATTCATTGGGGATAAAAACCCTGTAAAAAAAATAGAAGACTTATTAACACCTAACTTCCTATATTTATTTTTAGATGGCTTCCTATGCAGTTAGTGCATTACTGAGGTCTATTGAGGTAATGACGCCAAGCACACAGTATTTCTGATCAGGAATGCTTTGAAGCAGAAACTCCTGTTCTACTCCTTGCAATGATGTGATGAGCAGAACAGGAGTTCTTAGACAAAAATTATGGCTTAATAATGTGGAAAGAATGTGATGAAAATAAAACAGGAATTGCTACAAAAACAACAAAGAATTTGTAATAAGGATTGGCTTCTGAAATCAAACTGAACTTTGTTCACAATGAACAAAAGTAAACAATACCTGTTAGTATTGCCACTTTTCTTTTTGTGAAGGCACAAAGTGGTTTGACTAGAATGACAACTAATAGGGAAGGTTTCTTATACAAAGCAAGTTTTTTAATAAAGAGGAAGGCAGTGATAATGCAATTTTATTTACTTCAGATCATCTTCCTCTTGAGTATTTTTAGTCTCTGTAAGCAACTGTCAAATTTAGAAACACTTTTGAAACACTAAAACAAATCTATTTCATGTGAAAAAATAATATCACTACTAGATTCATAAGGTTGAATAGATTTTCATGATAGACTTTGCAAAATAAAAATACATAAATATAAATTTTAGACCTCTTCGATTTGATGAAGGGAGATCTCAAGAATTCATTTGAGTATATTTGCTTACGAAATAGAGAAATAATATAATATTGTAACATCATAACTAAGGTTTCTAGTAACTCTTCTCTAAGTTTACTTTGAGCCCCTGAAGATAAAATAAATAATTCTGATCTACTCCTGTAACACCAACCTTCAGCAGCAGCAGCAGAATTATAAGGCGTGTTGGTGACAAAGAGCTACTGTAGCTGTTTGTATGTCACATACATGCATTTGGATGAATTATTGCATCTTCAGGATTTGTTATCACAATCTCCATTAGGCACATTTCGGTTTTGGACGTAGCTGACGGCATCCGCGATGGTGTAGAATATCATGTTGTTTTTTCCTACCTCACCATCTTTTTTGCTGTCATAGTAACCGCCTCTTTCCAGAGAATCCAGAACTGAAGTATTGCACTGGGCCAAGACCACTTCAACCGCAAGTTCTCTGTAATCTTTGCGGACCTCTTTCAGAGCGTTCACTCCTGCCGTGTCCAAAAACAAGACGCCGCTGCAGTCAATTACCAAGCTGTGTACGCTTCTGGAAGATTTTTTATCCAGCATCAATATTATGGATGAAGAAGCCTCACTCTCCTTGTTTTGTTTATCTTCAGACATTCCCTTTGGTATCTCTTCGGTGTCTTCCTGATTTTTGTTTTTTTCAAATTTCAAACGCTGAGCCTTCTCCTTCACAGGATTAAGATTTGCACATTTGTATAGAGATTTTTTGAACAAGCTCTGGTTTGCATAGTAGATCGGTGCACTGTATCTGAATACAGCCACTCCAAAATGGGTCTGAAGGCCACAGTAGGATGAAACGTTCTCATAGTGCTCCCTGGAGGCAGCGCGGCCCAGCTCCAGGACCTGGGCTTGCTGGGTCCGGCCGAGGACGAAGAAGGCCGACAGTAAAACACCAACCAGGAGGCCAAACTCTGTGTTGACCAGCGCTGATGTTGCCATGGTGATCAGCCAGATGGAGGCATCAATTTTGTTGACGCGCCACATCCGGGGAACGTCCCTGAATTTCTTTAAAGCACCACGTAGGTTCACCACGATGATAACTGCTAAAACACATCTGTATAATGCAGAAGAGAGAACAATGTCATGTTAAACAGTTTCCATAAGACAGAGTAAGAAAGACAAAAGATCCTCAGAGTTGTTTGGCTCATCTGCTACTGTAGATAAAAACTGCAATTGCTGATGGATCTAAGCGAAATATCTCTCTTTAGCAGTTCACCTCAGTGTGCATTAACCAGGGTTGTCAACTTTCAAGGGGGGTTTAGAGTGCAAAGTAAGCCAGTGTAAGAAAGAGGAAAGCTGTGAAACATGAGCCAATTGCAAAAGATTGGGCAACTTGAAACTGCTGTCCAGTTTCAAGCAAGCTCAGTCTTCACTGACTTGTATCCCCATTTCAGGGGCACGTTTTGCCATTTCATCCCTTCACCATTTCATTTTATAGCAGTTGTAGAAAAGCTAATTGCTTAAAAAAGACGGTTGTTTAAAAATTGGAAAAGTATGTGGCTGCATGCCACATATTTCTGATTTTTATTTACAAGAAAATGTGTTGGTTAATCATAAAAGCACATTAAAATACAGCGAAGGTTGTAACATGACAAAATGTGAAAAACGTCAATGGGAATGTGTGCAAACCAATGCAGAGCAGCTCCTTATTGAGAGTTAATTTTTATTCAGTGATGGTTTGCTTGTACTTTCCTTTATTTTACTGCTTGTTTATTGTTGTAAATGAATGGCTATGTGGGCATGTTAAACCATCTGTATCCGGGGTTTGTACTGAGCAGAGCTCCTGCTGACTGAGAAGCAGGCGAGTCAACATGGGATCCGAACTATAACCAGAGGTTATCCATATCTGTCAAAAGTCTACCTTTGAAACTCTTTTCAAAATGTAAACACAAGCAAATCCTATTGTAAACCTGATGTTTCCTGAAACCCTGGGAACGTTTTAAAATGACAATGTCATGTTAAGGTTTTATACTCTGTGCCTGCAGTGTGTGTATTTTTTTAAAACATGTTTTTAGGAGAATCAAAAAATTTGATTAAAAGCAATTGAAGCATTTTCACTCTATGGAGAGAACAAAAAAAATGTAGAGATTTTAACTTTTCCTTAACTGCAATGTTGGTCAACAAACATTTTTCAGACAACTAGATGCTTAATGTTATCTTAATTGTAAGGACCATAATTTGTAGGTGAAATATGATATCCATATGTAAAAACAATAAATTAGATTAACTAGAAATGTTTAATGCATTTAGAACTTTCGACATACTTACTTTTGAAGGGAGTAAAAGAGTGGAGCAATAACCAGGAGAACTAACAGCAGAATAACAGCCGTGACCAGGCCTGACATCTGCGTTTGACACCCAGTCGATTCCTTGACAAGGGTTTTCGTCAAAGCAGCACTGGTCGTGAAGCAGCGGAAGAAAGAAGGCAGGATGTTGCAGAAGCCAATGGCATACATTTCCTGGTTGGCATCCACCGTGTAGCCATGCTTCTTGGCAAACATCTCGGACAAGGAGACGGTGATGGCGAATCCCACAATGGCGATGGAAAAGGCGTCCACAGCCACATTGGGGATGAGCGTCCATGCTGGCAGCTGAGGAGGGAGGAAGCCTGTAGGGATGTCTCCAGCCACGTCAGAACCATATTCACTGTTAAAGTGACCGAAGTGAGAGGCAAGGGTTGCGATTATAACCACAAACAGCTCAAATGGTATTGGAGCCTGGGAAAGAGAAAAAGGAGTAAAATGAATTTGGTTTAAAATAGATATACATATTTAATATAATAATATAATAATAATATAATATAATATAATATATATGATCAAATTAAAAAGTTTACATTTAGAGCCAAATGTGTAGCTTTGTTCATATGTTTTGAACCTGGAATCATGCTTACTGCAAGTCATTTTCAAACATGCTTAGTGCTTAGGTGCATCCTGAATCACTAAACTTGTTTCTCAGCATATGTATGCTAAGAATAAACCAAATTATTAAGGGCATAATAAAAAAATGTCACAGTCAATGAAGCAATGGGCAGAAATTGCACCAAATGAGTTAAAAATTTTTAGTGAGTTAAACATTGTAGAAGTCAAATGAAATGGATCAGGTCAGTACAAAAATGTAGTTTCCAAAGCACTGAGAATCTAGATCAGTCTGCATAGTTTAATTCTCAGTGCCAAGATCATATTTAGTGACTATAATAACTATTCATCAGGGTAATAGTAGTAGCATACAGCAGATACAGGAAGCATGGGGAACAGAGTTGTCCAGACAGGTTCCTGTTGTAACTGCAGATAATTTTAGCTGTAGCTAAAGTTAAAAACTTTGCTTTTAACTGTGCAAAGTTAATCACTTAATGTTGTAGCATATCTGAGATAAACTAACATCACAGGAACACAATCAGCGAACTAAAGCTTCTGATAGTTCATAGCACAAACACAGCAACATGGACAACCTAGAGTTTATACAATTCAACCGTCACAAACAGACCAAGACATAATCTGTGAATTGTACCATAACCCAGGCAGGATCACAACTTTTACCTTACTACAGAAAAAAGAGTGTGGATTGCTCTCAGTGATTAAACAGCCTAAGACATGCAAATAGAAATACAAATCTAACTCTTTGTATTTTTACCTTTAGCTTGGATTTAAAGCGATCATTCAGTTCCTTTGCTGGAATCAGGACAGCCAGGCAAACCAAGCTTGTGATTAGATCACAGATATTGGCTTTTGTTATATTGGCGAACAGACTATACCAGGTCTTGAATAGAATGAACCAGCCCTGCGACCGGGGGATCTTCAGCCCCAGAAGGTACTTGATCTGGGACGTGAAGATGGTTAGGGAGGCCCCTGTTGCAAAGCCACTGAGGAGGGAGTCCGACAGGTAGACGGAGACAAAGCCTACCTGCAAAAGGCCCATCAGAATCTGAGAGAAAGAGATTAAAAAGCAGCTAAGTTAAAAAGTAAACCAGTAACTGATATTTGACTTTAAAAAAACATTTGAAAATTTAAGGATTTACTAAAAACTATACAATAAAATATGCCTAATCTCACATTAAAAACTACCTTTATTTACTTGGACAACTGTGAGATATTAAATTTACCTGGTAAATACCAGCAGTGAAGGTGACTGTTGCTCCCACTGTGATCGCATAGCAGCTCCTATCACACTCTACATTACTGCTGTTCCCCTGGCCAGCCAACAAGGCATCACTGTTGTTACTGCCAAAGCTGTTTTCTGTGAGGTATCCTGCAAGAGCCAACTCTCTGTCCACAACCTGACCCACAAGCAGGCAGAGCACTCCAAATATCCCCACTGAGATGTGTCTGGAGGAACCCAGAATGGCATAAATGATAGATGAGAAGAAGGAAGTGTATAGACCATATATAGGATCTTGACTCGCCAATAAGGAATAGGCAATGGACTGAGGAACCAGCAGGATCCCCACTATAAGACCTGACATAATATCCCCCAGAATCCAGTCCTTCAGTTTGTAGCGGGGTAGCCACTGCAGAATTGGGACAAAGCTCAGTATTTTGGATTTCGCCTTCTCCGGGAGCATGTGCAGTGCTTCTTCACCCGATCTGACACAACAGAAAGCCATTTCTTCTCAGGTTCCTTCTCAGCTCTTTCCAGGATCAGTGGCTGCTGTGGGTCAGCCTCCACAGCTGAGCAACAGTCGCCCCCGTCCAGCATGTTGAGCTTTAGTTCCTGCAGAGAGAATGTCCGGCGATCAAACAAACATTAAAACCAATCAAATATTATTCCCTTTGCATATTATTGTTACTGTAATAACAGTCACCGTGCAGTAGAAAAGCACAGAAGTCCCTCTATCGTGACTTAACATTTTGTCCTTACCAAGAAGTATATTTCCTCCTATTTTATGCGTATGAAATATGAAGAGAAATATGCTTACAGCTCAGGTTACACAAAAAGCGACACCAAAAAACTGGGACAAACTTTCAGAGTTTGAATGGCGAATATAGAGAACGATGAAAATGACAACATGGTTCCTGTGCAGTGATAACTCATAAAATAAATAGCATTCTCAACAACTTCATTGAATACATGGATATATATCATCGCTTTCGTCCTTTCCTCCTCGTCCAGCCAACTTCCAGAGTCTTATGAATGAGCACCTTTGTAAACACGTTGTCAACGTGGACACGGAAGGGAACTTTAATCAACTTACGTAAGTTAACGTGACTGGATGTAATTCAGAGAGGAAAACGTTCATGTTAAATTTCACTAACCTGCCGCCGAACGAAGCGCTGTTAGGAACAAGTTTTTCTCCTGCTACTTTCCAACAGTCGAGTTTTATTCCGCCTCGGATTCATTTTACGTTTAGCTATGATGTCGTACGTCATCGCGTCTTCAGAAAACGTGTTTGCGTCATGTGATCTGCCGTTACGAACAGGCAGAAATGGACTTTGTTTACAGTTGATTCAATCTTTTGTATTATATTCGTAATTTAGTATTGCATTATATATTGATAGCTTTGTTGTTAATATAGCACCGATTTTAACATATTTATAAGAAGTTTCTGAACTGAAACTATCGGTTGTATTTTTATATGCCTTTCAAAAAACGTAAACGTTTGGAGTTTTTCTATAAAAAGGAAAAAAAGATATATTTTGACAACAGAGACTAAAAAAGCACAGTAGATCGAAAGTGAAGTACCGGACATGTTTGTGGTTTTTCATATTGACCGCAGACATCCTTTTTTAGATTAGGATGTCATGGCACTCTGCACTGCATAGAAAATAAAAACAAAAATTCAGAACCTTCGCCCCGCTCTCTCTGTTTTGTGTCTTTCTGTATTTATTATTTATATATTTATCTATTTTATTTTAGTTTGCATTGAAAGAATACTTGAACAATGCTTTCAGTCAGAATTACAACTGTGGAGGTTGGTGGTCATAGCACAGCACAGTCCAAAGTTGAGAATACAGCATTGCTGCCATGCATATAAAACATAGTAACTTGTTCTTTTATTTGTAATTTTTCCGTATTTAAACAAGACATTTTATCCATATCTGTTTGGAAAAAGACAGACGAATCCCCTATATTGTTATTAAACCTGGGTCGGTTTTGTAATCCGCATATTTGTAATTGGATGCAGGATTATGTCCACACATGACCATTTAAAGCCATCCTTGTAATCCCTTTTCTCTTCTCAGACATCTACACCTGGGTTGGTAAGGAGTACAAAGGGATTAACACTTTGCTGGGGGACAATACAAGGACTTAACAGGTACAAATATTTTCTTTAATTGTCATTTACACTCATGGGGTGTACTTGTGATTAACGATGCTGTTATTGATATAACTTTAATATTTAATGTTAAGTAACATTAATAGTAAAATATAACAGACAGCACCAAAGTGAGTAGATATTGCTACAAAGCTAATTAATTGTTTTCTTTTAAAGTAGTGAGATTTATTCATTTACTCCAATAGAGATATTAAAAAGGCTACTTTTATTGTATTTACTGCATGCTATATTACAAGACTGACTCTGAATGGTCCAAATAAACCCTTCTAAAATTAGGTGGTTGTATCCAACTTGTCTGAGTTTCATATTTTCAGGTGATATCCATCCTTAACAAATTATCCAGTGAAGAAAATTACATATTTTATAAAGAACAAAAACCTTAAAATAGAAAATAACTGAATCAAAGACAACTAACAGGCAAAAGTGATTTTTTTTAAATTATTCTTCTTTTTGTAAATATGTACATGCTACTCTTACTAGGACTACTGCTGTTAAAATGAACAACCCCCTTTTGCCAACTATATTTAATCTCTTCCTGAAATATTTTACAAGGTTAAAGCATATAGAGAGAAAGGAGGACCGCTCTACTATGAGCAATCTTTCTTATTTTTCATGTTTTTAATGTTTATTACATTTCTTCTTTGACATGTTTATCCTTTCTTGTATGTCAAACCCACCTGGAGTGCTTGTCATCAAAAAGCTCCATCTTAATGGCATGCCACCAAACACACTATTCCAGTTAAATTCTTTGTTTGTGGGATATTACATTATGTTTATGTGTTTTGGTGTTATAGACAAGACTTTTTCTCAGCCAGTTGTTAGTAAGATTGTCTTTAATGGCTGTCATGCCTGCTTGGCCACTCTTTGTAACTTAACATTGAGCTTTGGAGAGTGCTTTACTTCCATTGTCATTCTTCATGTGTGATAGGAAGATAAACTAATTAAAGGTCTGACTGCAGGGCTAAATAACCTGAGTGGCAATTGTCTTGTGTGTATTGGCTGGTTTATGAAGATCAACACAGTTCTCTACTCTACATCAACACCATGTCTCTTGATTAAGAGAAATCAACTTCTCTTCCCCTTTAATGACCCAGCAATCCATGATCTGCTAATCTTAAGGTCTGATTTTTTTCAAAACAATTTAATTTGGGATTTTGCTATTGCAATAAAAGATTATGTTCTTTCATTTTTGGCTTCTATTGCATCTTAACCAGGGGTTCCAATATATGCAGGCACACATGTAGTTATTAATAAATGTGTTGAAGTAATGTTTTTTTTTTTTTTTTTTTGCTGTCTTTGGCAGCAGCAGCCATGGTGGATGCAGCTGCAGCAGAGCAGTTCCTGGATGCCAACCCAGCATTTGCAAAGCAGTATTTTGACATGAATCTGAAGCCCCAAATAATCTCAGACCTGCTGAACAGCAACCGGCAGCCTGTGTTGGACATCAAAACCTACCATGATCCGACCATGGTGGATGAGAGTGAGATTCTTTTTGACCTGGTACGGGACATACAGGACAACTTGCAGACTGAGCGTTCAATCTTCAAGCTCATGAAGCACCTCAGCTTCTTGATGAGGGCGGACCGTATGAGCCTCTTCATGTATCGGCAGAGGAATGGCGTGGCTGAGCTCGCCACAAGGTCACTGAAGCTTTTATTAACAATTACTAATGGTTATTTTTGAACAACACTTTTTTAGTATGTACACTTTACTCCATTTTCAATCAGCTGTGTAGATGCTAGCTGGATCTGTGATGCTTGACAACGTGGAAACCATATTTTGCAAAAGGATAAAACTCAGTAAAAAAAGGTTATTTTACATTTTCCACAGTAAAGTTTAAGGTTGTAGATTATTATATGTCCAGATATATTCAGCTTTTTAAACTTGAAAGCTTTATGTAGATCCACTCCTTCATTTCACATTCCTCTAGAATTCAGCACAGCAACACACTTATGGCAGTGCTAATGTGGAGGGTTTAATCAATTGCACTGCTTCAGGGCCCACATTTAAAGCAAGGCCTTAATTGCTTGTCTTTAATTTAGTGAGTTTCATCAATTTCTGACACTTTAAGTTTCCCTTTTCTTATTATGAAGGCAGGGAAAGTTAATTTGTACGTCATTATTCATAAACAAGGTAATATTTCTTTACAGAAAAGTAAGCAAGCAAAAAACACATTAGGAAATCAAATGCAACAAAAAGCATTGAGAATCATCCCTCAAATGCATAATTTATTATATTTTTCCTAATGTTTTCTCCTCGCCTTTTAGATTATTCAACGTCCACAAAGATGCAATATATGATGAATGCCTGGTGCAACCTGAAAGTGAAATCGTATACCCGCTAGATATGGGCATAGTGGGTCATGTGGCCACAAGCAAGAAGATGGTCAACATTCCAGACGTGACACAGGTAGGCCAATTTCACTTTGGTTCATTGGTTTTTTGATGGTCTCTTTCAAATCCATACTTTGTCTAAGATAAATTATATAATCCTAATACAGTAAGTTAAAAAGAAAAGAAATCAGCTGATGGTATGATTGATAAAACAGTTTAATTTAATTATAATGTTCATGCTGAATATTTCTTTCTGTTTGACCACCAGAGGGCGCTAAGATCCCGCTGTTCCACCGACTTAACTTTCATTTAACCAAAGCCTGCTCAATCTCATTACAGTGAATACCGTTGACATTTAAAATAGCCACAAAGCTTTCTTTTCTTATGTACCCATCAAGCTTGCGATGGGTGATCCTCATCACATCCACCCACTATGCCCACACCTGCCTAAAGTGTTACTGTGGCATTTGCCAGTAATGAAGCAGAAGACAAAACTTAACTGATGCATTACAAACACTTCTCTGTATTGTGTCCTTTCATGTGAGATTAGAGAGCTCAGCTGCTGATGTATGAAGACAACAGACCAGGGATAATTATTGCCTTTTTGATTTTTTTTTTTCATCTGGCACTTCATGCTGCCAGGCCTGCCTGTTGTTCCTTTCCTTGTGAGCCATAACAGAACAAACCTCATTCTGGTCAAAACCTCAGACTGTGAAATCACAGCCTCACATGAGCACATAAAAGAAAACTGTAACGATCAAGGGTCAATTTTCCCACTGGCAACAAAAGAACAGCTAATGTTTCTATTTAATTGATTGGCTTTATGTTGCTAATGCATGAAGGATGGCTTTTTAGTAACAGACTGGAAGTCACCGTCTCTGCAAGCTATTTCTATCCCAATCCAATCTAGCAGAGGCCTGTGCTGCACCGTAGGTGGGGATTATGCAGTGAGTGACTAAGCGCTGTCCTAAATTCCCCATCATCATTTATCTTTCCCTCGTACAACTGAATTTAACAATCCCATCATTTACAGGATGGATTTAATTCATAATTTAAGGTGTGGTTACTCAATAACTGTCTGTGTGTTTGTGCCTTTGAGGAAGTAAGACAGAGAAGCTGAACATGGAGCAAGTTAATCTGTCCAGAATTAGAGCGATCCCAGATTATTCCCATAGGTCACACAAGCCCTGAGCCACTTTCCCCGACTCAGCACAATAACGCCTTTTGAGCTGCTCTGCTCTTGTTCTCATGATTGTCTTTTGCTGCGGAAATAACTTGAATTTGTGACATTTTTACAAAATTTAAAAAGTTTAACTTGTCAAGATTAAGTGAAGAAATGTGACTCTTGACTTTATATTTAAAAAGAAGCTGCACAGCTTCTGTCTATCTTTGATTTTCCACCAACACAGTCTCAAAATTGTATTCAATTCAGAAAATGTTTTAGTGTAAATCACCTGGGCAAAGCTGAAAAACTGCCTGTTAGAAATGTGTTTTGTGGCAAACTCGAACAAGTTAAAATCTTTAATCTACAAAGCTGATTCAAGATCATCCAAGACTTCCTTCTAATGATTTACTTCTTTGTTTCCCACTACACTATTTTTTATAGTAAAAACATCAAGTTTTGAATTGATTTCCAATGTGACTAAGTTGTCAAAACATTTTTCCATAAAGAGCTATCCATGACACTAATTGTTTTGGCCATTTCATTCTGCTTTTTAAAAGCATTATACATTGACTAAAATGAT